GGGTACTTGCATAGAGTGCCACGCGATGAGGACGCAAGGCAGTAAGTCACACACTCTCTCGCGCGCGCACACACACACTCACACACATGCATGCACACACACATACACACACACACCTCAGACCTCAGACCTGCCCATCACGGAAGCGATGATAGCGAACAGCTATGTTAGACATAGCAACTTGTGCTGGGATTACACCATTCAACAGCCTGCAAGGCTGATGAATTGACCGCCACTAATTTTAGCCTGCTATCCACCACACAGCTGATTGAAGTGGCTTTTCCTGGCCAGTGAATCCCTATTTTCATTTTTCCATTTTTTTACACACACACACGCCACACCACATACTCCGGCATACACTGGCTGTTGGTAACCACCCAGGAGAATGAAAGAAGAGCTAGGAGAAATGAGAAAGAGAAGAAAGACGTGTGCGACCATAATCGTCGGGAATTGAACCCGCAACCTCCCGATTGGAAATCGACTGCACATACCACTGCACCATATGGGACACACACACACACACACACACACACACACACACACACACACACACACACACACACACCCACACACACACACACACACACACACTCTCTCTCTCTCTCTCTCTCTCTTCTTTCTATATGAATGGCTTCTTGTTCTGCCATTGCACATCCTTTGTGTAACTATTAACACTGAATAGGGCTTTAAAGCGCGACATCACAGCCAGGCCGGAGTCATGACAAGTTGACAACTTTGACGTTTGGCCTTATGCACGTTTAGGTGGTTTCCCTTCACAGTAGGATGACATATCCGCCGGTAGTAGAGAGGTTAAGATGTACATTATTTCTGACCTGACGCACAATTTCACTGAGCTGCAGGTCACCCGCGTTGTTTTCCAACCCGCGAGCCACGAGCTGAAAGTCTCAGCTGTGAAGGACGTTGGCGGATGTACATGCATGTCGATGACGATACGGGACAATACGGTCAAACCACGATTCAAAGACGCAAAGCAACATTCCACACAACTTGTGTGGCTCAAAGATGCGAAGATCAATTAAAGGGGAAGCTATGCGAACAAGACTCATGCACAACCGAACGTCTCAGTAAAACAACACTGTTCTTCGACTATGACGATTTAGATCGACAATGAGCAGCAGTAACAAGCAGCAGTTTCACACGACGATCGTTTCGCCGTATAGATAAGGACGGCTCATTAGGTATGCAAGAATGGACTCGGATGGAGAGCCAAGGATACATTTATAGAAAGAAAAGGACCAAGGAACTACAAGTTACGCTATACTGTCCACTGACACCAGCAGTTACTAAACAATCAGCTCATGAGATAACATTGTACGACACTGACCAACAGTACTGACCTTCTAGAATTAACTGGCTATCAGCTCTAGCACATCTCGGATGCGCACTCCAACAGCCTTCCAACTTGGAAGGTTCTAAGTTCTATGATAACACAGGAGGGGAAATATATATTGTATCGTCATCAGCATGCATGTGTCATGCCGGACATACACAATACCGATCTCAAGGCTACAACATATACATTCGCATTGCCGTAGTAACCCCACCAGGTCATCAACCAATATGGTTGATCCAAGTATCCATTCAGCCACACACGCTCACCTTGGTCATTCGAAGAAGGTTGAGAGTAACTGTGATTTCAAGCTCGATTCAAGATTGAAGGTCGAAGGAAGGTTGGTACTTTTGATCAGAAGCAGCTGGAGTTATATGGTAACAAAAAGGATCGAGTTAGACAAAGGCGTAGCAAAGGCGGAAAACCAACCAATCAGACCATAGATAGCTTGTTGCTATGCAGAATTGACCAATGGGAGAAGACAAGGAGAAATGCGTATTATTTATGAATTAACTAAACAGCCAGCGTATACGATAAGACAGTTAGCAGATACAACATCCCGCGGCCCATGCATTGATAAAAATGACAAGTAGATACAAAAGACAACTGCCGTACAAACGCGCGCTCATGAGGGGAACACGTTCACCCAACATGTAAACTAGTACCGGCAGAGTAGTTAGTTCGTCGTACAACCCGGGGAAGTTCGTCGTACAGCCCGGAGAAGTTCGTCGTACAGCCCGGAGAAGTTCGTCGTACAGCCCGGGAGAACCCGGCCGAGGCCGATATGACACATGTACATCCGCCAACGTCCTTCGCAGCTGAGACTTTCAGCTCGTGTTTGTCTTGGTTGCGCTCGCCTTCCCCTCCTACGTTATCACATAACTTAGAACCTTCCAAGTTGGAAGGCTGTTGGAGTGTGCATCCGAGATATGCTAGAGCTGATAGCCAGTCAGCTGTAGAACGTCAGTACCGTCTGTTAGTGTCGTGCAACGTTTCTACTTGAAGTATAAATTTATCTTGGCTCTCCATCCGAGTCCATATGCTATTCTATTCAAATTTTTGAATTTCAATACGCTTGTCAGGTTTACAATTGACTGTTTCGAGGCCCGGTGGTGTGACTGTTGAGCTTTCCCACCATTCTTGTCTGGCTTGCAAGTGCTGTGTTTTGGAGAAGGGAAAAAGATCTTCGGCGTCAGGTGTCTGTAGTTTCTTAGTACTGGTATAAGAAATTCTTCGTCAAGTCTTAACTACTGCTTTGCGGTTTCATTTAATTATTTGAAAGAATTTAGAATGACAGTGAACAGCTGCATTATTTCTTTGTGGCGAATCTAATGCCGCCTTCATGGTATGTCGATTTGCCTGGTTATGTTCGTTGCGATTCTAAAATTATTAATTGCAACGCCGCTTTTTTGAAGACGTATACAGTAAAACCTGGTGTAAGCAACCTCTGGTTTTAGCGACCACCTGCTCTTAATGACCGTTTTTCCATGCACGGACAGCTCTACACTGAACCTGTTGGACCTGGTTCTAAAGACCACCTGGCTTTAACGGCCGCTTTTGCTTGCACCGTGGGGTGGCCGCTTACACCAGGTTTTACTGTATTCTGTTATTCGGCTGCGTGCTGTAACAGTGATATTGATGCACATAACGGTTGTGTACCTGCAGTATTGATCAAGCACATGACGTATTTGGTCGGGATCGTCATCGTCAGCACAATACGACTATGTCCGGTGTGGGTTCAATTGAGAAGGATTGTAAGACTCTGTATGCTGGCAACTTACACTGTCGTCGCACGGGAACAGAGGATGAACTCAAGGAGGAGTTTGGCGAATGGGGCGAGATCGAGGTAATGCTGAATAATCACTTCTCGTTATGTTGTGTGCAACTGGCCATGTATTTCTGTTTTGATTATTACACCACACAGATACATGCGTTTATGTTGGGGGGGGGGGGGCAATGTACGGAAAAAGTTGATACAACCATACACGTACACTGTTGTACAGTTGTAGCGAAGTTCGGACCAATGTACCATGTGAGAGTGACTTCGGGATTTGATTTTGCTCGCCAGGGCTTTGGATACGGGTGTGAGGCCGCATTGCCTTTATGACACTCGATACAAAATTGAATCTCATGAGTCATTTTGTGTGCTTTCTGTCTCTACTGCAGAGGATGAACATTATTCGAACACGCAATATCGCATTTATGACGTATAAGAACCGGATCAATGCAGAGTTTGCAAAGGTGAGATTGGAGAATTTCCTGAAGAATATGACTAACTTTAGCCCCATGCTGGAGAGGGTGCTTGTGAATTGTACAGTCCTACTTCAAATACATATGGAGGAGAGTGGATCCAAGTGGAAACATGTTGTGACTTTTAAAAAGGTTTCATGCCGAAACAATCATCAAACAACTGGTATTTTCACATGGAAAAATGTGGGGACAAGTAGTTATGCAATCAAGTCCACCAACTAAACCAGATTTTGAACAGTCAGACGTGCACAATCTAGCACAAAACTCTGACGTCTGACTGTTCAAAATCTGGTTTAGTTGGTGGACTCGATCGCATAACTTGTGCCCACATTTTTCCATGTTACAATTTTTTTCCTTGACTCACCATCTGAGTTCTTAACTGTTATTTTAACCTGGAATAGTGTTGTGAAGTCCTAATCACATTAGCAAGAATTCCCAGACTGCCGAGAGTGCTCAACACCACAAGGATGGAGCAATACCTCTCATCTGCCTTTGTTGTCAAGTCCTACTATGTATCTGATCGTGGTGACCAGTCTCACCGGGCTGCTGGAACAATATTCAACTGTCCTGCTGCTTTGCCCTGGTTGTAGCTTGAAATTGCCTGGTGTTTTGCTTGATTTCATCTATTCTTGGCGGAGATTGTTGAAGGTTTTGTGTGTACCGCTGAACAATAATTGAGTAGTGACATGATGAGTATTGACACTCATGTTATCCCGTATCCCAATCATCTATAGTGCATACACTATAATCTCTTGTGTGTTGCTCCCTTCTGGTCTAGGTTGCTATGAGCAGTCAGCAGTTAGGTGGACATACATTGATGAATGTACGATGGGCGTATGATGACCCCAATCCGCGTGCTCAGCTGAAGGTTAGTCCATAGTGTATTGCCATGCTCACATGATTTTTTTTAAGTTACACCCTTGAATGTCCTGCGACAAAGCACAATTAAATCATCCCATATTTAAGACACCGGTCTTTACATATCAGTGCGAAGTTTCTGCTTTCAGTTTCGCAAAATTCGTTTTTTAAATAATTTAGTTGTTATGTGACAATGGGTATTTATGATCCCAAAGTATTTCAATTGCAAACACCCTGTTCCAATAGGGAAAATACAGCATTGTTCTTTTCTTTGTTGTCTTCCTGCAAACTGCTCAGCGCTTACATGAATCTCAGGAACAGATGTTGTCAGTACTGAAAGATCGTTCTGAGTATGGCCCAGAGGTACCAGCTGCTAAACGTCTTGTACCAGCCACCGCTGGTAGTGTCACTGGGCCTTATCCGGATACCTCCCAGCAGTATGCTGAAGATGAGGAGGTAGACAAAGTGCTGATGGTAAGGCTGCGTTTCTCCACATACATGTGCAATGTGTAACAGACCGAGTACCTTCCCGCTGTGCACTCATACTGGCCATTCATTCTTTCTTGTCCGCCTGTGATCAATTCTGCTGTGATGTCCTGTGATCTCGTCAACATGTCACTGAATCGATTTAGGGCACTGCACAATTCAACATCAAAACAAACCCGATTTTGTTTCGCACACGACTTCTCGACTGGTCACTGAAACATTCTATTTAATAAAATGGCTAAACAAAAGTAAATGTAGCTGCTGGCCTTCTTATTCTAGCCTCTCTAACTGTTACTGGAACTCATGAGACGTTTAAACAAACTATACTGCATCTGTCTCTGTGTTGTATTCCTGTTCAGAGGGAGCAAGGTGTTATGCAACAAGCATCTGATGATTGTGGCCGTCTAGATGGCATATTCCGTCGCTTGGAGGAAAACAATCGCAATGACAGTACTGCCAGCGCTGTACACGATACTAACAGTAGCACTACCAACAGCTATATCATAAAGAAAGTAGATGCCCTGGTGTCTTCAGGGGCAGATACCGTTGCCAGCACATCATCCTCTTCGGTGGCAGCGAAAGAAACCCATTCTAGAGCCGAGCGGCCTAAAGCCAAGCATTCTGGCATTGAAATTACTGTGAGCTCATCTCATACCACTGTAGCAACTGCGCATAAGGTGGATCCAACCAAAGATCCGTTCCGCGTAGTTATTCCCAAGTAGGAACATCAATGTTTTGCTAAGCTGATACCCCTCCCGCTCACCAATATATATTTTGTACATGACTGTACATCTATTATTAATTTTGATACAATGGACTTTCTGCGTTGCACATATGGACATCAAACTATCGTACACTGTACATACACAAGTACATTTTGACATGCATTATTTTGTAATATAGGACTGACTGTACATAACGTTAGTTTTCACAAGGGTACTTCTACAAGTACTGAAGTAGTACTCTAATACAAGACTGATTGTAGTAGTATTATTATTATTATTATGATAAAGACTAAAGAGCGTTGATGAGATACTGTTGATACGCATACTTTGTTCTTGTCACACATGTGTCATAATTGTGTGAACGTATTGAGCATGCATGTAGAAGGGGCGTTCAACTGGGATCATAGTCTTACACATAGAGATATATCAATAACCTGAACATAGCACTCTCCAACACATGTATGCATAGAGATATATCAATACCCTGAACATAGCACTCTCCAACACATGTATGCATAGAGATATATCAATAACCTGAACATAGCACTCTCCAACACATGTATGCACCAAGGCAAACAGTACCGCAGTTCTCTGTAAACTTTCTTCATCATTGCCAGCATTATCAGCAGCAGCATTACGACTGAATAAGGAATGGTGTTGCTCAGCACTACACATAATTATAGTGCTTAGTCTTGTAACGAACATTGCATCTAGGCTAAATACATGGTATATCTATTACTATCTAACATGCCAACGGAGGGATCCATGATTCCAGGTCTCAGTGCTAGTTCTGAATGTGTGTAGATTCACAGTCAAGTCAAACGTGGCTTGATAAACCCCCCAGAGCGCTACACTGCAGAAATACGATAGCCAGCATGTATTATGTACAGGGTAATGTATGTGACACTTGAGTTTTAGACAGCAAACACAGACACAGAACACATGTTTTTTTGACAAAGGAAGGAGATTCTTCCAACTCAAAACAGTTTGGAAAGCAGGGAGTGCTGAATGATACTTGAAACAGTGCGTGATCATAGATTCCGGGCTAGTTTATACTCTTGTATCTGTTCTGGAAACACCTTGCCTAGTTCTTCAAGAAGACCATCACGGAGAAGCTGTATAGGTGAGAAGTTCAACAAAAACACCACAACAGAATATTATGCTGAGCAAACTTTCAGCAAAGTCAATAAGATTACACACGCACACAAAACCAACATCATAATGAGCTATACAAGCACAGTAAAGAAGGAGAGATGCACTATTTCTTGGAAGCAGGCAAGAGATTCATTGACCTTTCATATGCTTTAACAGTTATCACTACACCAAGTTTTGGGTCACACTCAGGTCTTCATGACAAGCCAATGTTGTGAGTATGATTCCCGGCAAGTGAAGGAGATGTGGGGATTATCCACACCAAAAAGATGAAATTGGTGCCCATATTCAGCCTTTCTCGGGCCTTGCCCAATGCATCGTGCTGATCAGTGCTGAACATCCCAACCACTGCTGCACCGCGTTCTGTCTGAATCATACAGGGTTTCACAGCTCGCTTCAGTCACACACATACATACACACACCACACACACACACACACACATACACACACACCCACACACACACACACACACACACCCACACACACACACACCCACCCACACACACACACGCCCACCCACACACATACACACACACACACACACACACCTGACCTGACCTGACCTTTGACGCCCATCGCCGGAGGCGATGATAGCAATGCTACGGCAGAAGCCATAGCAACTTGTGCTGGGATTACACCATTCAACAGCTTGCAAGGCTGAAGAATTGACCGTCACTATTCAGCCTGGTCTACACCATACAGCTATTTGGAGTGACATTTTCTGGCCAGCGAATCCCTATTTTTGGTCTTTTCATTTTTTTTCCCCGCACACACATCACACCACATACTCCCGCATGCACTGGCTGTTGGTAACCACCCAGGAGAATGAAAGAAAAGTCAGGAAGAGTCTGAGAAAGAGAAGAAAGACGAGTGTGACCATAATCGTCGGGAATCGAACCCGCAATCTATCGATTGGAAATCGCTGCACATACCACTGCACCATATGGGACACACACACACACACACACACACACACACACACACACACACACACACACACGAACGCGGATCGACAAAAACAAATGAATGGGTACAGAAATGGGTAGCAGAGACAGATTTACACACAGTACCTGTAATGAATTTGTTTTCGCCTCTTGCTCTCGGTGCTTGTCCACTAGCTTCTCCAGACATGACTTGGTAAACAGCTGTGGATTCTTGCCTGTGTCAATATACCTACAAGTACCATATCATTCACATCCACCAGCAGAATGCACACATACACACACACATACACACACACATATACACACACACACACACACACATACACACCCACACAAACGCACACACACACACACACACACACACACACACACACACACACACACGGCACATACACAGGCACACATGGCAATATTGGAGTTACATAAGTGCCCCGATCTACCAACTTTAACTCCAGAGCCATACCCACATGTACAATATACAACCTTGACTCGAAGCAGGGAATTCTACAAGAAAAAGCTCTACGCTTAGAGTGCCTGAGCGAAGAGGAATGCCAAAGCCTAGGCAAGAGTTGGTAACGTTAGAATGTTACTCCACAAGTGGAGCATTTCTGTCTCTTTTTCAATACACGCAGGCATTACACAAGTGCTATTGCCAAGAACCTACTCAAACACATCCATTGGCACAGTGATATCGTTGAACTGCGATCGGATTTCATCAATTTCTTTCATAGTTGAAATCAGGTTTTGACTGTGAACAAGAAGGAAGCGAAACGACAAGAAGAAACATGGAATAGGTCAACATAGAATTGTCACAATAGATTTCAGATTGTCAGCTTAGTTTTCTGAAAGTGTGTGCGTGTGTATCGTGTGTGCATGTGTGGCTTTGCACAAATTGTTATGTCTAACAAAGCTTGCTGGCTGTTAAATTCTTTGGCAATGCTGCCAATGGGCATTTACTTACATGTATGTATGTACATAGTCATGGCAAGTGAAATCCGACCATTGGGTTTACATACGGATCCTGCAGAGTGCTGTCACTTCAAGTTTCACACACTGGGTGTACACCACACAGCATGTGCACTGTGCAGCATTGAGCACTCTCTAAGCTGACCCAACTGGCCATGATGATGCATGTATGTGTTATTGACCGAGTACTTGGGCAATACCGGCGATATCTGCCATAACGGGGAACGACGCCAGCCGTAAGGGCAGATATCGATGCCGGCATTGCCAGAGTACGAGGTCAAGAAAATACTTATTTTATGACATACGCAGGAGGGTTAGAACCAGGGAGTATCTCTAGTATGTTAGCACAAAGTTGACCCTGACCTTCCAAGTTTTTTAAGTGGGCATTTGAAGAAGCACTTAGAAGGTCAAGAGGTCAAACAGCGGGCAATATCATGTATTATACCTCACTCCATATACACCCACACTCATATACCAGATCTCCCATGAAGTTTATAATTATATTTCCTTATGCTGACCTTTCATACAAACTTCCAGTCAACTTGCCCATCATGCTGGCGGCTTATACTGGGCATATAAACCTCATACAAACCCCATATAGACCGCCACCATAGAAACAGGAAGAAGTTGACTGTCAGTTTGTATGAAGGTCAGCATAAGTATCATACATTCCACTAGTACACTTGTACGTGAAATATAAACCATCATACAAACCTCGGCTTCGCCTCGGTTTGTATGTCGGTTTATATTTCACGTACAAGCGTACTGTTGGGTTGTATTATATACGTACCGGTACATTATTGTGCTGCGCTGATGAGTTCAAAAAGAACGAAACAGCATGCTGTCCGCAGATTGAGTATTTCGCTCCTGCTCTTGTAGCAGTTGAGCACTCTTGCGTGGGGTAGTGCCTTTGCTGTTTGCGTTATGCAGAGCTCACTGACTTGTCAGTTTGAGCACTCTGGCAAGGTACGTACATTATTATATACTCAATCTGCGGACAGCATGCTGTTTCGTTCTTTTTGAACTCATCAGCGCAGCACAGAGAAAATGAGGCCGAACCTGATAGCAATGGAAATAAAAATTTCCAATCAGGCCCGAACGTACCTTGCCAGAGTGCTCAAACTGACAGGTCAGCATTATTATATATACGTGTTCACCGAGCATTCGTACAGTGCCTCTGGCCTATCCACTGTTGTGTGTTGTTGTAAAAAACAAGACAGCACTATGAATGGAAGGTGAACATGAAAATCTATCCTCACATTAATTTTATGTTAGCTGAAGCCTACTGCAGGCATAGCCAGGGAGATGCAGCCCATCATTTCCACAGTTATCACCAACAGTGCTCAACAAAAGAACAGTGAAATGAAGTTCGTTCATTACTCAATACGGCCATGAAAGCTCTTACATTTGCTGATTTAGAACTGGCTGACTGCTGGTTTGGAAATCACTGGAGGTGATCCCAACTTGAGTAATAGCCAAAATAGACTGCTCCAGTCCATTCTCCAGAGCACTGAATTTAGACTGAGTACTCATATTTCCAATTACTTCGCCGCCATCAATCAATCAAAGCTGTTGGGACTTGGTTGACATGTCGACGTGCTATGAATATGTTTACTATAAATATTTGTAGCGTCTGCACATTTACAATCGCCTTTGAGAAGCAACATTCGTAAAACTGCAACAACAAATTCGCAGGCAGCACGACACTCTCACGCTGGACTACGCGGTGCTCGTGCTGTAGCTATTGATCATCATAATCACCCTCGAGGCCTCATCATGAAAAATGAAAGCCACAACAGAAAAAGTCTTTCATATGATGATCTGCTGGTCTGGGTTCTTGCCTTCTCGATCATTCAGAGTGAGTGTGCATGTGGCTCATCAGATTCAAAAAAGTCTCATGCACACATAATAATTATGTACATGCCACCAGCCGATTTTTGTAGGCTACTGTACGGACCTAGTACCTATAGAGTACAAAAAAAATGTAGCTTCCCCTAGCCCTCTACGACGTCATCAGGGCAACGTCCGCTCCAATTATTTTTTAAACAAATTCTCCGGGCATGCACCGTCGGAGAACTGAGAATTTTTACTTGTACATGTACTTGTTGTAGATCGGCTTTCTCGTGTTTTGCTCGAGAAACAAAGTTTTGGGTAGTTTGGGTGCTTCTTCTTCTCCTTGTTTAGTGACGGCATCAGTGCTTTGAGCAGTTCTTCCAGACAGCAGTGTAGTACTGCAGAGCAAGTGCTCCTTGCAAGCTACTAGTATTTCATTTCTGTAGTTGCGAGGCTCATTCACAACAGTTGTCTATTTGTTTGCAAGTTATACTGTTACGAAAATGGAAGAAGACCACTCTGTGGAGAGTGGGCAGACCGAACCAACTGATGAGCAAACCGACGATGTAAAAGATGAGGAAAGTCAGGAAGACAATGATACCCCTTCTAAGAGAGGTATTGGTGGGCCTGGACGCGGTGGTGCAGGAAGAGGCAAATCCAAACGTGAACAGATCGCGCAAGGTGGAAGGATGACAAACAGCACTGATCCTAACATGAAGAAAGCGAGGATTTTTGTTGGCAACCTCGCCGTGGAGAAAATTAAACGAACGGACCTTCAGGAGAGATTCAGCAAGTATGGTGAAGTCACAGGCATCAGTGTCCACCGAAACTATGCTTTTGTGCAATTTGCTGAGGAGTCGGCAGCCAGTGATGCGCTCGATGGAGAGAACAATGCTGATTTTGGCGGAAGAAAGATGAGTAAGATTCGCATCTTGTGTTTGTTTTGCTGCTGAACAATTGCTGAGTACTACACGATGAACTATTCAAAAGAAACTGCAGAACCAGGAGTCCTGTAAAAACCACTGTTTATCAAAGAACATTTAAATCTAACAATTTTTAAAACAAAATTGAAATAATTCGTTAAATTTTGAATCCGTTACATCAAGAGTCCATAAACAAGAGTATGCAACTGTGATCTCTTTTCTATGGGCCAGATGCGCGGCGCGCTGCCTTCATTACATCATTCAGCTGCAGTCCGCGCACTGCGGAAAATCAAACTCCGCACTTTCCCTCTGGTTAGAAATGGACGTTCGTACGGAACTGGAGTTCACGCGCCAAAATTTAGAGATCGGGTAGGTACTGGAACGAATCAAGCAAAAACGGATGGGCTCGTGGGAGAAATTGTGAGTTTAAATGCATGCTTTCAGAGCGCAATGAAGGCAAGTTATGTAATGAAGGCAGCGCGCCGCGCACTGACCCATAACCACAGTTGCATACTCTTGTTTATGCACTCTTGCTTACATGACTGTACTGTATCTGCAAAAACGATGTACAGTCAGACCTCGCTTAACCGCACACATCTGTTTTCCGCAAAAATATCCGGATATGCGAGGGAACCGGATAATTGAACGCACTTACTGTAGATGCATGTGGCATGTCAAAAGCAGTGACATCGTACATACATGTAGACGGGTCCTATGCAGTACAACTAGCGTGCACAGTATGTAAAACAAGCGAGAAAAATGACAAGTGCATGCAACTGAGTGCTGTCCACATGCACCCAGCAGGTCAAGGACCTCATTTGCCTGTACAACTCCCTGATTCTAGCTTCTGCAAACCACATGCAACCGGATACGACGAAGCTTTTTGTACATATTTTAACCAGTTTGTACACAAAATCATGCACCATTATGCGGATCGCGAGGTCCGGTTATGTTGTATGCATAACATATGCTGCACATCGGTAACCAGCGATTTTCCTCCGGAGGGATCCGGATAAACGAGGACCGGATAAGCGAGGTCTGACTGTACACATATCAAGTATGCACAGTTGTTTGCCGGGTTTCACTTCCGTTCTTGTCGCTAAACAAGCAAAAACCAGATAATTTTAAAGTGTTACGTAGATGATGCGTGTTATTCAAACTTGTCTTTTTCCCGCTCAAACAACAGCTTTGACTGACTCGTAAACGAAGACAACATGATTGTAGAATGGCGTTGTTGTTGGTGAATGCACCCAGTGCATCCTAGAGGACACAGTTGATTTCCAAGAATGTATTTGTACATACTTGGAACAAGTAGGACCCGTGCACTAGGGTGATACATGTGGCCCCTAGAATGTGCAGCTGTAGTTTGGGAAGAGGGGGGGGGGGGGGGAGGGGAGGGGTTCTGCGGCGGCAGAGTGTAGCATCACAGGACAAGTTCAAACACACTCCTGCACTCTGTGCGGATAGGTACTGGGCTGCATTCTTACACATGTACTACACCTCTCTGGTAAACACTTTGCACTGTTTGCCAACATCCTATTGTACCATATCATGGGATGTGAAGCTCTGCCATTGCACAATATCATGGGATGTGAAGCTCTGCCATTGCACCATATCATGGGATATGGAGCTCTGCCATTGCAGCATGGAATAGAAAAAGTGCAAGCAGTTGCACAGTCACGGAGGATATGAACTCTTGCTATTAGTCGATTGAAAACATTCAGTACGGGCTGAAATAAGATGTGCACCCGGTTAGTAAACTTTTTTCACGGCGCTCAAAATTGTTTACTGTTTGTACCCACTTAGGGCAAAGCGCACTGTACCCACTTAGGGCAAAGCGCACTTCTTGCATAGGGCGCACTGCTTTGGTGGTCCCACGGAGGTACAGCCCAGGCTCTGGTAACAAGTACTTCCCGTTGTTTCTGGAGAAAACCTGTCTGTTCAATGGCTGTCAAAAAGCCAGCTGTGTGACTCACTAGCATCACGCTGGGGCAGCTGGGAGGAATTGTTGTGTTAAAAAAAAGAAAATGAGAAAAAAAATGAAAAATAGGGATTCCTTGGCCAGAAAAAGCCACTTCAACCAGCCGTGTGGTGTAGACCAGGCTAAAATTAGCGGGGGTCAATTCATCAGCCTTGCAAGCTGTTGAATGGTGTAATCCCAGCATACGTCGCTATTATCGCTTCAGCGATGGGCAGGAGTATGATTATGAGTGTGTGTGTGTGTGTGTGTGTGTGTGTGTGTGTGTGTGTGTGTGCGTGCGTGCGTGTGTGTGTGTGTGTGTGTGTGCCTGTGCTTTTATGCAGGCATTCAAAGAGCGCAAGGCGAGACTCAAGGTATTTCAAATACTATTCTTTGCATATTACTTCTCATTGTGCACTAGCTTCTATTTCTGCACTGGTATTGAGGCATTGGTGTTGAAGTCTTGTTGGATTCCAGAATTTGTGTTGGCAGTTACCATGTTACCCACTGTCATACAAGTAAAGTGTCCCATAGCAGACACCTCAACTAAGGACGTCTCCTCCTTCAGGGCACATTTCTCCAGTCCCCAATGCTCCCAGGTACTCTGTATTCAAGAGAACTGCCTTTTCAGGACAGATATTGAAGTGACGTGTGCAGCGAAGAGACCATATTTGGAACGATTGAGTTGAGGTAGCCTAACTGTACAACTGTACTGATTCAGTGATCATATTCTTGTCTGTGTATTTTCTGATTGTGATAGTATTCTTGTCTGTGTGTTTTCTGCTTGTTGTTTGTACACTGTAGAGAGGAGGCCAGCAGAGCGTCGCCGGAGGCGCAGCAGGTCGCGTGAGCGTGAACGCGATAACTATGAGTCTCAGCTACGCCGGCGCTGGGAAGAAGACCGTTATGGGCACCGTGGTGGTGGCTCACATGGGGATCGAGCTGGTCGTCGTGACCCCTCACCACGGAGAGATGATTATCGTCGGTATGAGCGATCACGAAGTCCACCACCGCCAGGTTTTGATTATGAGCGTGAATCTCGTAGTCGAGATCGCCATGATCCCTACTATGATACTACACTTGATCGTGCACCGTCGCGTGATCGTAGTTTCTACCCTAGTTCTGATCATCACAGGCCTAGGTCACCTGATGTCCGGTCATGGCCAGACACAGCAGCAAGGGAGCGTGCGCCATCTCCACGTCCTGCACAAGGTCCGCTGGATTGTGAAGTGCTCATTACCACAGTTGACATCAGGTACAGCCAGTGGACTACTGCACCTGTGTGTGTGTGTTTCATGATGGTGCATGTACCTGACTGTAGATCTTCACCACATCACACACACATGCACACACACACACACACACACACACACACACACACACACACACACACACGCACACACACACACACACACACACACACACACACACACACACACACACACACACACACACACATTGTAAACGTGTGCACATGGTTTACTATAACCTAAGCATGTAGAAGTTTCCTTGAGGTATCCATGATATGATCTGCCGGTATCATATTAGCATCTGTACACCACCCTTATATGCATATGCATGTGGAGTAGAGTTGGTGCTTTTATACGTCACTGCTGCAAGGTCCTCTTGTTCTCTTCTTGTCTGTGTTTCTCAGACGTTATGGTGAAATGATCGCACGGCGTGTTCGCAGCATGGGCTTGGCTGTGGAGATGGTTCTGCTGACTCCTGGAATCCCACTGATTGATATGTTAGATGATGCATGTCGCCGCCGTCTACTCTTCTCTGTCCTGGTCACTGAGCAACATGAGCTGCATGGTTCATGTACTGTACATGTACTCAATGGCCCAAATAAACAAGGTACTGCTTATACTACTACAAGTACTGCTCTGTCACTTTCTATGTGCACTACTGAAAAGTCTGGTGTAAAAGCCACGGCTTATGCGACTTAGGAGGGAAAGAAGCATGTCCTGCAGTTGCTTGTGCTGAAGCTGCAGTCTGCTGAATATTGGCTTGACTGCTGAAGCTGCAGTCTGCTGAATATTGGTTTGACTGCTGAAGCTGCAGTCTGCTGAATATTGGCTTGACTGCTGAAGCTGCAGTCTGCTGAATATTGGCTTGACTGCTGAAGCTGCAGTCTGCTGAATATTGGCTTGACTGCTGAAGCTGCAGTCTGCTGAATATTGGCTTGACTGCTGAAGCTGCAGTCTGCTGAATATTGGCTTGACTGCTGAAGCTGCAGTCTGCTGAATATTGGCTTGACTGCTGAAGCTGCAGTCTGCTGAATATTGGCTTGACTACTGAAGCTGCAGTCTGCTGAATATTGGCTTGACTGCTGAAGCTGCAGTCTGCTGAATATTGGCTTGACTGCTGAAGCTGCAGTCTGCTGAATATTGGCTTGACTGCTTTGAGTACCTCATGTATTGTAAACTCTACTATGTTGTAACGTACTGGAATGCATCACTTTGCTGCTCTTCTTCTGGGTAGGGTTGCCTTTGCATACCTGCTTGTGTCACGATGTATGAATGCATGTGTGTGTGGGTATGTGCGTGTGTGTGTGTGTGCGTGCGTGTGTGTGTGTGTGTGTGTGTGTGTGCACGCATGTGTGCACGCATGTGTGCATTTTCACATGTGTGTGCATAGAGCATAAAAACATGCCGTTGGAAGACGCTATGGCACTTTTATCTGGAGACCGCAAGTCTGATGAGTATGCGCGAGGAGGCTCTGCACCATCGATGTACCGCCGGTCACCCTCACCACCTCCACTTCCACGTCGCTTGCCTATTCACTCAGAGTCACCGCATAGTGATGTGTTGGGTGCCTCAGCTGTTGCACCGCGCAGTAGATATGATGATGACCTGCGTACTTCTGAGGCTGCCAGTTTGGCGAGTGCATTGTCACAGGTTAGCCGTACTGGTGTTGCTGGAGCTGAGAACCTATCAACAGATGAGTTGTCTACTCTGATCAACGCATTGCAGCGCAAGCAGCAAAGTCTGGCTGGAAGTAGTGATGCTGTGTCTGCTGGTGTTGGTCCTACAAGAGCACCTGGATACGATAGAGGTAAGCACTGCTATTTTAGCTACATTCACGTGTACAAGTATTTAAGCAACCCGTTCTCTTTTTTCTCGTGTCAGTGGGTCTATGTGTCAGTATTGTGTCGTTTCCCTGGGTCCTGTACTGGGTCCTGTACTTCTCATGTAGTTGACTTGACATGTTGCAGCTACACCAGTTTCCCTGTTCTTCTCCACACCAAGTCTCTGGTCTATGTAGTACATGTAGCCAGTCAACACTAGGCGACGTAGGCGACGTGTATAGAAGCATTTTATGCTACGCACGTTGTAGCATCTTGTGTCCTTTGTAGGTATGTAGACATGGTCACTTGATACACAGCACAGGCCACACAATACGCGTAATAAGTCAAGTACATAACTGGGTATACACTACATATAGCTGTGCATGTAGCGATCGGTCTCGCAGGTCTTGCTGCCAGTCGCCCTTCTAACGCTGACCTTATTCCTTTAGTGATGAATCTGAGCTCTTTGGTGCTACTGCTCCTTGCTTGCACTGCTTTGCCAGGGACACCTATACTTTGACCTGTACTTTCATGGTTAGTACCAGGTCTTTGCCTGGCACTGCTTTGTCAGGACACCTCTACTTGCATGGTCAATACTATGTCTCTGCCTGCTCCTTGGGTAACCAGCACTTTCCTGCGTGGATTGTACAAGCACTTGCCTTTCTACCAGAACATTTGAACGTGTCTACACCGCCAGACTGCTTCTGGAGCCAAGTGGCATCAGCTTTGCAACGATTCCTCTGGCTCACCGTGGCCACTTCTATTGCCACAGGATGTTTTTGCTTCACGGGGCTTTGTGCTTACCCTGCGAGTCTGCGTCTGCGAGGAATTACATTCCAAAAGTACTCGTTGCAATTCTTCTTTTGCCTTCCACAGTGGCTAGTAAGCCAGTAATGCACATGCCCATGTGTTTCTACGTGATGTAGGTGTCTAGTGACAGAAGCAGAAGTAGAGTGTAATAGGTGATGCTGTGACCAGTGTTTGCTTACTGGTCACAATGCCTTGCACTGTTATTACACATAATTGCAAGTACACATTTGCACACGCACACACATTGCGCGTGTCCTTCTTCGCCTCATTGCCCTGAAGCAAAGAGCCCCCTTGTTTGCACATAGTTTATTTCTAGAACTTCCATTTATATCGCCGTGAGTCCAGAGACATGAATCTGTAGGAGATTCTGCCAATTGGTTTAAAAAATCTTTGCTCAACATGGAGTGTTGAGCATACTACACACTTCTGAAGTAACCTTCATGACGCCAGGTGTGAGTACATGCTTTCTCCTGAATTGCAGTACTTGGCGCGGTTTATACAGCGTAATGTTTACGACCGCCATGGCTGGACTCAGTTTATCAACTTGTTGCTGAATACTTCAGGAAGCCTTCGAGATGGCCACAAATATGTCGAAGGGAGCCTCTTTACTGTTTTGCTTGGCTTGGCACTCGCCAATCCAGACCTTGTGGCCGTTGTCTGTATGGATATGTAACAGTTGCCTTTCAGTCTTCAATACTCTTCATAGGCTTGGACAGGTCATTCAGCTTTAGTAGATATCTTTTAAGATTAAAAAAAAAAGATATCTAGTGCATGGCGCTTTTTCAAGACCGCTGCTAGTCTAGCTGCTCGTGTTTCTTGTCTTCCAACTCCTGGATCACCAAGATATGCTTGTCCATTGCTGGCATTGGTGTTGATCACAACTTGAAGTAGCATCCGCTTTTAGTCCAATTAGGCTAATATGTTGATTTGGCCCTGCAGCTGTGTCAAGTTTGGTCACTTCTTCACATCAGCTACTTTTCAGTTCAGTGTTAAATGACTACACCACCACCACCACCACCACCACCACCACCATTGTGCTTTCTGCTGCTGCTGCTGCTGCTACTGCTGCTACTTACCTTCTTCTATAGTGTCAACTGGGTTGATGTGTTGCAGCAGATTGTGTGAAGGAGGCACCCTGAATCTCATTGGATGCACGGACAGGTCAACACACACCTGTCACTTTGCATAATACTTGACTTGTTGTGTTCGTGTATGGTCCTGTCCACATCCTTCTTGCCCAGAGGCGCGCACACGCCCTCCTAGGGCTAACTGGTTCCGACTCCTGTAAATTAAAGGCAAACTTCTCTTCTGGGATAGTCCAAGGAGGGTTCTCTATAAATACCACTTCAGACTTGACCAAGGAGTCATTTCAGCCATCTTGTGCAATGGAGGTTTCATTCTTCTCAGTATTTACCTTTACGTTCACCTGCTGTGTAGTGAATGTACCTCTTCTAGCCTTTGAAGAGTCGCTGTAGCGGATGTACCTCTTCTAGCCATTTAAGAGTCGCTTTAGCGGATGTACCTCTTGTAGCCTTTGAAGAGTCAATGTAGTGGATGTACCTCTTCTTGCCTTTGAAGAGTCGCTTTAGCGGATGTACCTCTTGTAGCCTTTAAAGAGTTGCTGTAGTGGATGTAGCTCTTGTAGCCTTTGAAGAGTCAATGTAGTGGTATACGTCTTCTAGACTTCGAAAGGCACAGTAGTGGATGTACCCCTTCTAGGCTTTGAAGAGCACTGTCGGGGTCGTCTCTCACCTCATGTACATGTACCTTCACCAGTTACTTCTTGCTTATCTCCTGGCAAATTGCTTTTCGAATACTTGATGATAGTGCTGTGAAGAATTTCACTTGGCTGCAAGATTGCCCCTTACCTCTTCTCGTTGCCTTATTCAACTTCTTCCTCTCGTTGCCATGTTTGGGTTGGTGGATTTCATGGTAGAATGGCCGAATGGGCAGCATCTCTCTCAGGGAAGGTTATCTGTGTGTTGTATCTGTTTCTCTTTGGACATCCGTGATGCAAGCAGCATGGGTATTTTTTGTCTATGCATCGTAGAACACTCGCTCAGATGTCCCCTTGGATACCAGTCGTATCGTTATTACATGTGTTTTGCAACTTTGCATGTGACTACTGTCTGTTCTCGTCTCTCTCTTCTCTCTCTTCTTTCTTTCTTCCTTTCTTTTTGACATGAGCTGTAAGCTGGTACAATTTTGACTCTGCTGCAGTTTGCATGTTTTCCACAGTTCTGTTGAGGAGAGTGTAGTTTCAGTTTGCATGCTAGAGCATGTCACTTAGCTACCGGTAATGGGTTATTGCACAGTGCAGCATATGCAGACCACCTGCCACCACTCCTCAATACTGCCTGTTCTTTGTCGACATTCTCTACATTACTAGCCGTAACTCTTCTGTCTGTCATGATGTGCTGCTGCTGCTCTATTCTTGTGTCTAGCACCGTACTCTGGAAGAAGTCTGACTAGTGCTGCTCCTACTGATCCTGATCGTCCTCGCCATGACGGTATTGAGAGTTCAACAGCTGCCGCCGCCGCTGCTGCTGCTATGCGCAAACGTAAAAGATCACCATCCCCTCCTCCTCCTTCTGCTGCTGCTACTGCAGCTGCTCGGTCACTATCTCGCGAGCGAGGCGGAGCAGGGTATCAGGGACATGAGCATCGAGACACCACTGCTGCTAAATTTGAATCTTTTCCCGAGTCCCGTCCTGCTGTGGCTGCTTCTCATCGTGTTGGCGACAGGGTTGGGCGTAAAGAAGAAGCTATGGATTCTTCTAGTGGGCCTTCTGCTAGTTACTTTGATGTTGGTACTGCTGTTCGTAGGCCTGCTAGTGCTGCTAGCACTTCTAGACAAGCTGAAACACAGCCTCCTTCGCGTTCGGCACCTGTCACCAGTACTCCAAGTACAATGGCAAATTCTTCGCGGCCATCTCAACCTTCCTCAAGTCACCATCCTTCAAGCACTCCAGTAGCTCAGGCTCAACGTCAGCAAAGACAAGCATCACCAAATGCGCCTAGTCCTTCTCACGGCCCTGCTCGCGTTCCTCCTCGTGATCCTTCTTCTCGTGACATTACTTCAGTTCAAGGCAACCAAACTGGTCAAAGGAATTTTACATCGAATCGGAGTGGATATAATGTTGATCCTCCTTCTGCCATGACTGCTGCTAGCAGTCATGCTGGTAGTGGTGCTGCAGGCAACATTTCTGCAAGTAATACTGCTGGCGGCCGTGGAGTGGTGCAAGGCCGATCATCTGTACCAGCGGCAGCAGCAGCACGTGATGTCCAGGGTCCACGCGCTCCGCCATCTCACCAGAGTGGATCTTCTGCGAGTTCAGCATCCAGGTATGTCGGTGGACCTAATGCTGCTGCTGTGGCTCCTGCTGCTGCTTCTTCAAATCCAGGTAGAAGCGGACAGCAGCAATACGGCAGCAGCAGCAGCAGCAATCGAGCAGTACCCCACAACGCTCAGCAACAACCACAAGCCCAGCAGGTACACCAGCAACGTCAGCAACAGCCGCTGGAACATGAGCAGCGTGGCCAGTACAATACTTCACAGTACTATGACGGTGAGCAACAAAAGCAACCGTATCCACGACAACCCCAGCAGCAGCAGCAATTTCAACAACAGCAGCACCATGCCACAGCCCGGAACACTTCCCCTCATCGCCCAGGTAATCAGGGTCATTACCCACAGCAGGAGCACCGTTCACAGCAACAACAGCCACCACAGCAGCCTCAACAGCCACCACAGCAGCATCAACAGCCACCACAGCAGCGGCAACACCAGCAGCCCCCACAGCAGCGGCAACACCAGCAACACCAGCAACCCCCACAGCAGCGGCAACACGAGCCTCCACAGCAGCGCCAACACCAGCAGCCCCCACACCAGCAGCCCCCACACCAGCAGCCTCCACACCAGCACCAACACCAGCCCGCACACCAGCAGCAGCCGCCACAGCAACGCCAACACCAGCCCCCACAGCAGCAGCAACGCCAACAGCAGCCTCCGCAGCAGCAACACCCGTCCCAGCACCAGCGGCCGCAGCACCAGCCGCAGCAGCAGCAGCACCAGCAGCAGCATACTTCTAGCTCATACAATACTGCCAGTGCACCACCCGTTGTTGCTTACCCGGGTCAACGCCAGGCCGGTGGAGGTAGTGGGGCCTATTCAGCAAGTTCAGGCTATACTCAAGGCTCTGCTTACGGCTTGCAAGCTCAGTCGCATGACAAGCCTGCTTCGTCACCTTTCGGCCAAAAGAACCCCAATGTACAGAATGCTCTTGATAACCTCATCAAATCAGGACCAAACTTGCTGCGACGGACTTTCTAAATGCAGGGACAATTTCATCCTGTTCTTTTGCCTACTAGCAGCGCTCGTCTTCCTTTCCAAGTAGCAGCAGCAGCAGCAGTCCAGTATTGAGTATGCCTAATCTCAATGTTGGAGTAGACCTTGGCAATGAGATGGAGCCCTGCTCTGATCACCTCCAATGGATCCGAGTAATAGGCTTTCTTCTTCTTCTTCCTCCTTCTCCTCCTCCTCCTCCTCTTCTTCGCCATCTTAGTTTGTCAATAGACTTTCAACTGCGCTTCACAAGCTTTCATGTCTCTTTCCGTATGAGCATGGAGAGTAAGGCCAATAGCAGCCGCAGCAGTTAGTGCAGCAACAAGTGCTACAGCAGCACTACGTACACGTCTACCACCACTACTACTAGCACCGCCACTACAACAACAACAACAACAACTACAGTACTTGTGCCATGGCTTGTCTTGCTTGTAGTTCACTCACTACATTCACCTGTTTCTTTTCGTATTCATTTTTATCCACCCGTTTCTTGCTAGTGCATGTTTAGCCTGGCTCCTTCCTTTTATGTAGCCTCGCACTGTAGCCCAGTTTCTTCCATCTTCGCCGTCCACCACGCCTGTGGGCATGCCAGCACGTCGTTGTGCTCCTTTGCAGTGACTGAGGACTGGAGTGTTGTCTTGTTCAATGTATTGTGCCATCACCCTTGCCTTAATCCACCATCAGTGGTTGTGTGCTATTGGCAATGAATCCCGAGCCGGGAAGACCGCCTCTCCGTATTGCACAGTCTGTCTGTGAATCCTCCTCCTTCAGCCAATGTTCACTCAGGTCTGTTACTTCATGCTCACACCTTTGTGGTGCACCACTACCTAGCTTTGATGGGCAAGCGTTGTGTGTGTGTGTGTGTGCGTGCGTGTGCGCGTGCATGCATGTGTGGATGTACAGGTAGATGTGGGTGCGGGTGTGTGGGTGCGGGTGTGTTCACCTTGTTGCATCGGCTGCTGCCTACACATTCGCTCACAAGTCGGTGTCCTTGCCAACTTGTGCAACTGAAGTAGTAGTATATGTGGTATATTGGTGATCATTGAGTTGGTTGGACAGGATAGACTTAGAGCCTTGTTTAGGGCATGCACCTCACACTTGAGTCCATAGGATGGCAGGTGTAGAGGTCGGTGCACTCTCTTACACAGAGCACCAAACACCACGGCTGGGAGGCAGTTGATGTGCTGGCGTAGAACGTGAATTTCCCCTGCAATCGGCATCTGGCCATTGGTGTATTCCTCCCTTCTGCAATTACTTCCACATGGAGGACATGGACCATTGGCCAACATTGGGTGATGCACGGCATTCTTAGCTGTTTGCTCTGTCTTTTCCTTGAAGTGAAATATTATAACAGCGGCATTATGTTACTTGAGCTCGAACCTCTTTGTCAAAGTCATGGGAATGGCTGACTTGACCCTGTACCAGTTACAATGTGTTCCCACGTACTGTCCTCAGACCAGTACAGTGCTGCTCTTATCAGGTGTATGACCAGCCTTGATAGGTAGGCCTGCCTAGCAAGGCCGGCAGAGGGCTCAGCACAAGCATATCCTAAACAGAGAACGGCACACCTAGCAATGCAAATACTCTTTATCTGCTAGCCCGCACAAGTAAACATTAGAATCACAAACATAGCACACAGCATGCCGTACAGAAACTAAGTCAGATACTTGACTACTTGACTTGATAACAAGCATCGGCCTTTCGCCAAGTACCCATCGGCCGGGTACACTCTTTGAACCTTTCTTCTAACTACTACTTTGAAGTAGTGCTTTTAACGATATTGTGCAGTGCAAGAGAAGAGAGTATCTGTTGTTTGTCAAATCTTGCTGGTCTCTGATCATCAGCACCTATGAAATGTGACTACCCACAGTCCTACATATCACCTATGAAATGTGACTACCCACAGTCTTACATATCACCTATGAAATGTGACTACCCACAGTCTCACATATCACCTATGAAATGTGACTACCCACAGTCTTACATATCACCTATGAAATGTGACTACCCACAGTCTCACATATCACCTATGAAATGTGACTACCCACAGTCTCACATATCACCTATGAAATGTGACTACCCACAGTCCTACATATCACCTATGAAATACTCAATCTGCGGACAGCATGCTGTTTCGTTCTCTGTGAACTCATCAGCTCAGCACAGAGGAAATGAGGCCGAACCTGATAGCAATGAAAACAAAATTTCCAAAGCCAGATTTAAATCAGGCCCGAACGTACCTTGCCAGAGTGCTCAAACTGACAAGTCAGTGAGCTCTGCGTAATGCAAACAGCAAAGGCACAACCCCACATGAGAGTGCTCAACTACTACAAGAGCAGGAGCGAAAATACTCAATCTGCGGACAGCATGCTGTTTCGTTCTTTGTGAACTCATCAGCGCAGCACAGAGGAAATGAGGCCGAACCTGATAGCAATGAAAATAAAATTTCCAAAGCCAGATTTATCACCTATGAAATGTGACTACCCACCGTCTCACCTATGACCTGTGACTACCCATATACTTTTGAAGTATCACCTATGAAATGTGACTACCCACATTTTAATCATACCCACAGCTATCCAGCTATGTACTATGACATGAAACTTCTACTTGTAGTGCAATCAAGAGTAAAATAAGCTCTCGGTAGTGTGCAACTCTGCATATGGGGGTCTTCGACGGCGAAAACTGACATCACATGTTCCAAGTGCACTTCATACTGCATACAGCGTAGGCCAGTTTGCCAACAGTCTACATAATAAATTTAATAATCTATGGTTAATAAATAATCATTATTTTCTGCCATGATCATGTTGATGACTTGTGTAAGCTAAGTTTTCGCCGTCATCGGACCCCATAGTACTATGGGTATCCGTAGTTGCACATACGTGGGAGCTTATTATACTCTTGGTGCAATGCAGTCACCAAGCTTAGTGACAAGGCTAAGCACACGCTGCCACGGCCAATAATACTTCGAAGTACATCACACGCGCGCGCGCGCGCACACACACACACACAGACAAACAAACACGCTCTCTCTCACGAGCGCGCACACACGGACTCGAGCACGCACCCATACCACATGCTCGCGTGGAGCCGTGCGCACACAGACACACAGACACACATCAGTATATTCATTTCAGAGGCAAAAAAACTGTGGTGGTGACAAATAGAGCAAGTGGATGATTTGGCGCTATTTACCCCCTGGTACAGTTATTCAATACATGTATGTGGAAATTGAGTTGAGAACGTTAACAGGTTTTACACATCAGGCACTAGCAGAGTACAGTTGAACATCGATTATCCGACCACCTCTGGGCAGACAACTGTCAGGCGGTGTTCAGATAAGGCAAATGTTCCGGATAAGAAAAAACTGTCACTCGCACACTTTCAGTGGTTATTACTAGCCGCACGACCTTTTTACTTTTTACTTTTCAAAATTTTCGTATTTTTTGAATGGCTCACTACATGCACAGTGCGTACTCTACGGCACGTGCGCCCAAAAAAACTGTTACGGATAATCGAATGGTCGGATAGTCGATGTGCGGATAATCGATGTTCAACTGTAGTACGTTCCATGTACTACACTGTACTGCCTGGCTTACACCGTACCAGACATCAACTAGAACAGTGGTTGTACTATTGGTGACCCTGATTGCATCACCAGTCACCACCTCTACTTCCAGTAGCTGGATCAGCAGCCAGCCCTACCACCACCGCCACCACCACCAGTGAGTCTCAGGTCCTACCTTCCTCTCCAGTGCAGTGGCCATAACGGTTACATGGAAAGAATGCAGCTGCTGGCCACACTCAACATTCTATCATCAGCTACTCTATGTACATGTACGTACTACACTACATCATGTACATTACCACCCTTGCTGCCATACTACTTGTCACCATGGTGAATGCTGTTACTGTATTGAGCAAGAAAAACAAAACAAAAAAACAACAACAAAAACAAAAAAATTGTTTGACTGATTACTACTGCTGTGAGGTTATATGATGTAAGAGTCCGAGTGTGCTTGGGTCACACAGGACTCTGCATCAGCCCATCATTCTTTTGTGGAGCGTGCTGCAACGCTATTATAGTGAAATGACTCAACGAATATGGATTGATTGCACCATTGTTATGTTTGGATACCTGTATTTTTCTTGACCATGTACACTCTGTGTACAGTGTGGTCAGAAATACAGGAGACGCTTAGATGTTTCGCTGTAACTTTTGAAAGTAGTTCTTCGCATGGACGTCTGATGATCGCCCAGTGTGCAAAAACTTTTGAAGCTTTCAGTTGCAGCCAAGCTGCCTGCCGTCTACTGTATGTCCTGAATAGCGCTCTGCACCTAAGTGCATTGAGCACTCTTTAGAGCTACCCGACTGCCCCTGAATGTACATGTATGTGTGGCATGATGATTTGCAGTAGGGACACACACACACACACACACACACACACACACACACACACACACACACACACACACACGCATGCACGCACACGCCTGCACACACACACATGCTCACTTATTTTCTCTCTCTCTCTCTCTCTCTCTCTCTCTCTCTCTCTCTCTCTCTCTCTGTGTCTGTCTGTCTGTCTGTCTGTCCACCGATCCGTCTATCTATCTACTCAATCTGCGGACAGAGCTGTTTCATCCTTCGTGGACTCATCAGTGCAACACAGAGAACATGTGGCTGAACTTGATAGCAATGAAAAAATAAAATTTCCAAAACCAGATTTAAACTAGGGGTGAAACGAGTGCCCAAATTGAGTACTCCTTGAAAATATACCACTAAGCACAGTGATAACACCATTGTTTAGGACACAGACAAACCTTTATTGCACATATAAGCGCATGTGCTTCTACCCGGACATGTTTACACGGCAAACAATGTACTTTGCAGCAAATTTTCGCTTACATGCGCATGCGCTTATGCATGTGGGGAAGTACAGTACGGTATCTATCTACCGTAGTGTCTTGTATTAAAGCCTTTCTCATATAGAAGCCTGTTTTGAATACAAACCTGACTTTCAAGATGCATTGTCGGCACATATGACTGGTTTTAGTGTTGACATACATAGAAATACCTCTCTTGTATAGAAGCCTGTCTCATGTAGAAGCCTGCAAAATTTCCCCCGAAAAGTCATATAAGCCACAGCTTTTATACACGACTTTGTATTTGTCTGATGATTGCCTTCTGCCTTGACATGTTTTGTGTTTTTTTTGTAGTGTCGGAGCGAGTGGCACTTTTCAGACTGGTTAGTGACTTGCTTGAGTAGCAGATGATCATGTGACCTGGATGGTAACTACACCGCTAGTGATTATGTAATGTGTTGGTAGTCATGGTGATGTTGGATAGCATTGACCGGCATGGCCATCCCGGTATGTATGCTTGGTCCGTCTACAGTTGTTCAAACAAGAAACTGGCAACTTGTCTGTCTGGTCCATCATCAGTCATAGTGCCGTTACACACAACATGCATTTTTCTGACTAGCGATCCTGACCTTGTGCGTTACACACAACATGCATTTTGTCTGACTAGTGATCCTGACCTTGTGCGTTACACACAACATGCATGTTTTCTGACTAGCGATCCTGACCTTGTGCGTTACACACAACATGCATGTTTTCTGACTAGTGATCCTGACCTTGTGACCTTGTGACCTTGTGACCTTGTGAGCTGTGAGCTGTGTGCCTTGTTTTGTATACAACTACTCAGTGCAGCCTCCATTGCTGCTTATTGTGACCAACACACTTTGTTCAAGTGTGCTGCTGTGCTATTGTGACAAACACCCTTTGTTCAAGTGTGCTGCTGTGCTAGTGTGACGAACA